AAGGTCCATTTTATATATGTGTATATATATATATATATTATGTACTTATAAACAAGGTCCATTTTATTTAAGAAATTAATTAATTTATATTATTAAACTTAATCAACTCAAAACATTCAACACAACGTGCATTAAAGGGTGTTGAGAATTAGAATTTCCCTTATTTGGGTTTTCATTTTCATCATTGTGAGAAGAAGACATGAGCTGGAAAATAGGATGTTTGTAGTAATTAGCAAATAAAAATTTTGAAACCTCAAATAAAAATTTTCCATGTGCTGTCAGATAGCTTTTTGTTCATACCATCCAAGTTATGGAAAGCATTGTCATTTCAATACAACTTCATACCGACATATATTATGTACAAAAAAAAAAAGGAAAAGGTTTTGACAATTGACGACTCAAGTCACAATGTGACCTTAGGTCCCGATTAGTTTTCTTGCTAGAAATAGAGCACTTGTTTCATTCTTGTTGGACAATAATATTTTTTTGTGTTAAAAAAATAAAAAATAAAAAAATGTATGTTTTCATCTTCTATAAATATAAATAAAGACTACATTTGATAGGTTTTGAAACACAATTGTAATTCGAAATATTTAGGTGGAATTGAATTGGAGATAAAGATAAATTGAGTTGTACAGGTGGAGAAGACAGAGATGGTCTTAAGTCAGCATACAATAGGGACTTTGTAACAATGACTATGAACATGACAAGATCAGATAACAGGACTAAAATTAAGGAAAACCAGAACTTGAATCAATGAGAATGAATCTTCACGACAGAGGTTCATAGAACTAAAACAGCTACTATGATCGATAAATGTCGGATGTAATCCATCATATATAACCAATAACCATATACACAACTTCTCTCAAATACCCAATAAATATAAACAAAGAACAACTTCAGCACCACATATTCATATCTCAAAAGTTTATCAAACGATTAAATTTGTATTCACAACAAAGCATACTTAAATTTGCAGTTTGACCTCTCTTTCTGTAGGAAAAACAACATCATGCAGGGTGAAGAAAAACCTGATTCAACTTTCGACAGTGACATCAGCAGCAATCAGTGCCTCAGAATTCGCATTCGAATCATGACGCTGAGCAAAATTACTTTCATCCCCTTCAACCTTTTGATCCTCCATTTCTGGAGCACAAGATGGACGATCCTTGATCTCATCCGAGCTTTCTGCATTAGTTTGCTCCTTTAAGCACTCTTTCGAAGCTTGTTTTGCTTTACTAGCAACCAAAGGTTCCCGGTTTTGAGGCTTCGAGAGGGAGCTTCTTTTGGGTAACTTCTTTTGAGCAGCATTCGCCTTATCGCTATTTATTATGGGAATTTTCGGTGAATTAATGCAATTTTCTTTGGTCAGTTTCAGATTAACGCAGGATTCCCCATTTTCCAGAGGAGTTGACATGTTGCTCTTGTTCCTCCCGAGCTTTGGGGATATTGCACGAGTAGTTGGTATCTGTATGAATACAAATAAAAAGTAAAAAACCCAACTTTTTAGGTATTATAATATACATGCACCACATTATTCAAAGAGTCTCGACTCCTCAGTAAATAGTTCTCAATTGATCGAGATTAAGAAAATGTGTCAATGTTGATTTGTGCACTCAAAATATTCTTTGTGTTAAAAAGACCCAAAGATTCAGAAGTTTTCTGAGTACGGAAAATATACGGATGACTTTGGCTGGGTCACACTATATATCTGTTTGGATAAAATCACTAAGTATACCTTTTTAACTTAAGTTCAAGCAAAATTCAAGCCAAAATACCTTCTTCAGCTCAACTTTTGGAAGAGGTTCTTTGTAGAAACTCGGCATAGGTGTAGCTTTGAATGTCAAGCTCTTTCTCAGTTGCTTTATTTCTGCCTCTTGGTTTTCCTATAATATCAAATTAAAACACATATATAACTAAACATATATACATAAAAAATGAATTAACCAAAACAAGGTCCTAGACAAATATATATGTATAACTAAAATAAAATAATTTAATAAATTGAATACGATTCTCAATAAGCACCTTCGATTTTGCTTGCAGATTACTCTTTTCCTGTTCCTTGGCATGTATTTTCTCTTCTATCTTTGAAAAGAACTGACCATAAAAACAAATGTCAGCAATCAAGTCACACCATTTAATTTCAAAAAATATAAAAATTGCAATAATGCATTCAAAGCAGCCTACCTCTTTTCGTTTGGCAGCACGTTGTTCCAACCTGAAGGAGAATGTCGAGACATTGACCTTCTGCTGGGCGGCACGTGGAGTAAGAGTTCTGTCATTACAAAAATTTTACGAACAACCTTTTCAGCTGAACAGAAGACTGAAATACATATATGTTTAAGAACAATAAATTAAAAAGGAAGTCAAAGATTAAAACATACGACGAAGTAATGGAATGAACATCCTCCTCGTTTTCTTCCTTTGCAGGCATTTCATTGTTTTCGGGCTCCAATTTGTTTTCAATAAAACTGCATTGACAACTCAATAAATGGACAATATTGCAAAATATGAATGCTGCTGGTGAATTAAAATCACCCAATCAATTATTAAATTTGGAATAATTATGGCCTGTTCGCCAAAATTTGCGCAAGTTTAGCAATTTCTTTCTCTGTTGGACTTAAGCAAGAATGAAATTGTTGCATGTCTGATTTTGAACATTTAGAACTTAGGCCGAATGTTTGTGATCCAAATTTCAGTGCAAGTAAACGAAAAAATGTTCAAGTATACGAAAATAAGGAAATAATGCTTTGCTTACACATCGGATACGAAAAATTAATTAACAACAGTTTGCTTACACGTCGGATGTGGGCCCAACTGCAGTTCCATCAGCTAATACATGCTTTCCAAACTGAATTCAAGCCAATACAATGAAAAATGTCAATCGGATACATTAAGTAAAAAAATCTATGAAAGGGTCTTTTCATAAAGCTTAAACGTCTAACAAAAACAACAATAAAAGAAGAAAATCGTACGGGAGATTGATGTGGGTTTGCCACTGAAGCTGAAGTTGCACGTTCGGTGGCCCTCTTTCCCGAGCTCTTCACAAATTGTCCATTACCATTCGAAACCTTGGACTTGACTTTTTCAGCAGCTTTAAGACCTTGTTTGGCTTCCGTCTTATGCGCCTCGGATTTCCTTACAATTGCACCTCTGGCGGGGAACGAGAGGCTTTGGGATAATGTCGGTTTTGTGGTGCGGCCAAACACGGCGGATCCTTTCGAATCAAGCTTATTCTTGCCTTTGGTGGTGGGATATTTGGTACCCTCATTTGATGATCTTTTAACCTTTATTACATCTTTGGACAATTCAATTTCATCCTTGTTTAATTCCAGAATTGCCCCTCCTCCTTTAGAATTCTCAAACACAACTCTTTTTTCATCCTCAACTATAGCCCCATTTTCAGACTCCATTCCAAGATTAAAAAGGGGGAACTCTGAATAAATTCAAGAAACCATAAAAGGAAATTTAACATTCAAAGCACACCTCAAAATTATCAAAACCAGACACAAAATTCCTCACGGTCCAATTTCAAAGTTCCTCAGTTGCATATAAAGATATGATCCAGAATTGTGCAAGTTCAACATTAAAACTCTCCAAACGGAAAGAAAACAAAAAACGATTGACTAAAAAAAAAAGCAGTACAATTGAAAAATATGACAGTGAGAAATAGAGATCCTGAAAACTACCTAGTCCACAATTCAAGAACTAATTAAAGAAGTAACAGAGATGATCGTAGGTCATAACAGTGAAAAATTAACTGCTTCGAAATTAAAGTAGAAACCAAAGAAGAAGGGCGCTGTAAGTAAGTATTTGTTTACCTTTGCGTAAGGAATTTAGGGCTGTGGATTGAGTGGCGATGAAGATGAAGGTGGGATTTGAATGCCGATTTCAACTTGAAAAGGTGGTGAAATGTTTTTGTGACTGTGGTTCGAGAAGTACTATGGTGTGGAATTCTCTCTCCTCCTTGGAGAATTTATCACGACCGATTAGAAAAAAATAATTAAATAAATAAAAATGGAAAATAGGATGATAGGCTGCATGGGTAATCATGAAATGACTCAATTGCCACTATAGAAAGGGGAAAAGAGAACTGCGGTGG